TTAATAAATGCTTATTAATTGAATTAACATGTCATTATCCTAGTAAATACCATTCATACCATTCATATGTCACAATGATTGCCTTTGGGGAAATTAAATTACTGTCAATGGCAAATCTCTTGAAGAGGATGGATGGCCATCTGTCTTAACAATTAATGAATCGATAAATCTACAAGCATTTATGAAGCACCCACTATATGCCACAGTACTGCACTTGGATTGGGAATACAAAAACAAAAGTAGAAGTCTTTGCCTTTGAAGAGTTTACCCTCTATCAAGGGAGAAACATGCAATAGATAGATAGGCATATAGAAAAGAAATATTAGCTAATTTGAGAGAGGAGAGCACTAACAACTGGGGTGAGGGTGGGTGTCGGGAAAGGCTTCAGAAAATAAGATCCAGCCTAAGCTAGGTGGTTTAGTCACTCAAGTGCCTAGAGGCGAGGGGTGGCACTAGACCAAATCATTTCTTGAGGCTCCTTTTTAATTACAGGATTCTATGATTTTGTGATTGCATGTTCATGATTTTGACAGTGATTACACTCTAAATTCAGTAAGCATTATTAAGTACCTATTTTATACAGAGCTATGCTGGGCACTGGGGAAGATACGAAGTTCAGATAATTCTTGGTCCTTGCCCTCTTGGAGTTTATAGTCTAATGGGGGAGGGAAAGGAGTAAGAAACATACTAATAATTATAACACAAAACAAAATAAATATATGAAATGCAAAAGTCCTTATATAAAGTCCCAGGGGAAAGATCATCGTTGACCAGGCCTTGAGGAAGGTTTCTTGGAGGAAGTGGTATATGGGTTGGGCCTTAAGGACTTAGACAAAGTGGGGATGGTGGGCATTTCAAGTCTAAGGGGCAGGATAAGCAAAGGACTATAAGTAGTAATATTCCGGGCTGGAAATTTGTTTCACTCTGTCTTTTTGTGGGTTCTCCTGCTTTAGAATTTGTTTAGAGCCATTTTTTACAGGTATGTGGAGGGGTTTGGGGGAGAGCTCAAGCAAGTCACTGCTTTTACTCTGTCATCCTGGCTCCGCCACTTCAAGTAGTAATATTCTGGAAGGGAATAGTATGTGAGAAAGTTGGGAAACTATGCCAGGCCACGAAATGCTTCAAATGTCCAGGTAAAGAGCTTGAACTTTACTTAGAAGGCAATAGGGAGATATTAAGACTATTTTGGTAGTTGTATGGAGTTGAATGGGCTCTCCCTCTGGTGGCCCTGTCCTCTTCTCCCTTTATACTTACCTCACTTGGTGTTCTTATCAGTTCTCTAGGGTTTAATCGTCACCTCTATGCTGATGATTCCCAGATCTATATATCCAGCCCAATGTCACCAATTACCTTTTAGACATCTTGAATTGATTGTCCCACAGGCACCTCAAACTCAGCATGCCCAAACAAAATTCATTTCCCCCTAAAACCCTGAACTTCCCTATTACTGTTGAAGACACAACCATCCTTCCAGTTCCTTATCGAGGCCCAAAATCTTGGCGTCCTTCTCAGTTCTTCACTCTCACCCCCTTCAAATAAATTGTCCGTTGTCAAATCTTGCCATTTCTACCATCACAATACCTCTCCCCATACATTTCCTTCTCTCCACTCATAGAGCCACAATTCTAGTTCATCTCCTGATAACTTCTTGCCTGGACTTCTGAAATAGCCTTTTAACTAGTCCCTCTCCACTCTAATTCACCTTTCTTTCACTTGCCAAGGTTATTTTTCTAAAAGTAGGTCTGGCCATGTTACATACCCTCTGCTCAATAAGCTCCAGTGACTGCCTCTTACCTCTGGAATCTAATTTTAAAATCTGTGTTTGGTGGGGCAGCTAGATGGTGCGGTAGATAAAGCAACAGCCCTGGATTCAGAAGGACCTGAGTTCAAATCTGGCCTCAGACACTTATTAGCTGTGTAACCCTGGGCAAGTCACTTAACCCCAATTACCTAAAAAAAGAACAACCCAAAAAAACCAAACAAAATAAAATCTGTGTTTGGTGTTTAAAGTTCTGCATAATCTGGCCCCTTCCTACCTTTCCAATCTTCTGACCCTTGACTCCCTGTGTGACCCACCTATACTGGACCACTTGTTCCTTGAACATGATGATCCATCTCTCATCTTCCTGCCTCTGTACTAGTTGTCTACCGTTTCTGGAATGCTCTGCCTCCTTACCCTGACCTCTTAGTGCCCCTCTATGGCTTTATGACTCAGCTCAAAGCTCACTTTCTGTTGGAGAGTTTTCTTGGTTTTCAGGAGGGAGAGGAAGGGGTAGAGAATAAAAAGTTATTAATTTGTTAATAAAGTTTATTAATCAGTCACTGATACAGTCCGTGTGTGGCATGATTGTGGGTTGGAGCACCAAAATCATTATGGGAGTAGGTGGTGGAGGGGTAAGTGGGAGAGAGATTCTCCTAATAGACAAGGAATGCTAATGCCTTCCCAGCTAATGCCTTCCCCTTTCAAATGACTTTCTATCTATTCTCTTTCTATATTTTATGTACCTTGTACATTTGAACGTATTTATTCTGTTTGAGGTCAGGGATTGCTTTTTGCCTTTCTCGGTACCCTCAAACTTAGCGCAGGGCCTGGCACATAGTAAGCACTTAATGATTCTGGTTGATTGTGAAGGTTCATACTTCAGTGATGGCAGTAGACATGGAGAGGAGTGTATAAATGCCAGAGTTATGTTGGCAGTAAAACCAATAGTGCTTAATTAATTGGATATGAAAGAAAATAGAAGATTCAAAAACAAGCCAAAGCCTCAAACACGGGAGATAGATGAATGATATTGCCATTAGCAGGGAAGAGAATGTTAAAGGAGGGAAAATAAGCTCAGTTTTATATATGTTGAGTTTCAGATGCTGGTGGTACGTCCAGGCAGAGATCTGGGTCTGGAACTCTGCAAAGAGGTCAGGACTAGAGATACAATTTGGGGGGGGGGGTCATATAGATAGAGCTAGTAAAGCCATGAGAATGTAGGAAGAAAAAATGGAAAATAAAAGAACAAGCAAATGAAACAGAGATGCATTAGTGGACAGTTAAGAGAATGAAATTGCCGTGTTCTAGAAGCCAAAGAAAAAGAGAGTATTCAGAAGGAGGGAGATAGTTAACATCAAATGTTGCAGAGATGTCAAGGAGAATGAAGATTGAGAAAAGGTTGTTATATTTGGTGATATAGAGTGAGCAGCAGAACCTTTCACTCCAAATCCCCTTTTCTCGTCACTAAAAGAAAGCTGCCTCCTTTTTCTTCTTAATCACTTTGTGATAACTGGAAAATTGGCGATATTACTTTGGGAGAGAGCCAGTATGGGTCAGACCATAATAACCCAGAGAGCTGCCCTGAGTGGGGGAGGAGGAGCAAGGATGGAGAAAAGAAGGCTGGAATGTGAAGGACGTTGTGGAATGGATTTGTCTCTAGGAAGTGACAATCCTCTGTTTGAATTTGGGCAAATTCTGTCTGCCCTCTGGAGCTCAGGTTTTTCCTTGGAAAAGTGAAGGAGCTGGATTAGATGATTTCCCAGTTCTAGTATTCTAGGATTCTATGACAAGAAGAGTGGGGAGCAGGTGTCCAGAAGGGGAGCCAAAGATAAATCGTCTGACACTGTAGGGGCTTGGGGAAGGAGCTAGGAAAGCATGCAGAACCCTCCCTGCCACCTCCATCCCAGGCTATGTGTTACCATAGTCCTTACTCCCCTCAGAGACCCAGGATTCCAGCCCCTGACTCTGCTGATCCAAGGCCTCTGTCCTCTCTATTGCAGACTTCCACATAGGCCTTTTCCCAGAGTCCTATTTCCCTAAAGGAGCCAAGTATCTATCCTCTCTACCTCCCCCTTTTCCTTTCAAAGACCCAGGCATCTGCTTTTTAATTCAGGCCCCAGTTCTCCCTCTAGGTGCGAAGAGGGGAGGGTTGAGGTTTTCTGAGACTTGGAATAAAGCCAGGCACTGGCCCGCCCTGAGCTAACAGATATTGGAAATCTCAGTGGCAGATTGTTAATATCTCTCCAGCTCTCACTTGCCCTTTTTCTCCCAGGGAGTAGAAACAGGTCCCCAGTCACCACTGGCTATTTTCTTTGGGGATTAAGATTATATCTGGCCTAGTATAACCATGTTTTCCTTAACACCCTATCTGTAAACACAGCCAGATGCCCTCACAGAACACAAGTGCCTCAACTGCCAGCCTAGCTCCCTTCTTACCCTTTACTTCTCCTTTCCCCACAATCAAGGAGACCCTCATTCCCAGAGTCAGAGTTCCAACTATCGGCTCCTCAGTCCTGGATTACTTATAGAAGGAAAGGGAAATCCAACAGAGATGGAACCATAACCAAAGTTGGGGCAGAGTAGCCTTTTATCCAATCCCCAGGCTCCCCTCTGGAAGGAGTGAATCACTTCAGAGAAAGGGTTTGTACATCCCCACTGTGTCTCTCTACTTGTCCTTTTTAGGAACTTTGCTCAAGGTCTAACCTTGCCTCCTCACATCCCAGTGACTAAAATGGTAATAGAAGGGTTTTAGATTACAGGAAAAGAAGTAAGGGTGGTTTTGTCCTTCCTCCTGCTTTTGAGTTCCACTTCCAAGGAGAGAAGTGAGATAGCAACCAGATACAGGGGTGCTCAATGGAGTACCCTAGGAAGTGTGAACTTCTGGAGGGCTGGTGAGAAGTATGGGGACAAACGCTTGTGTTTCTCTAATTTTCAGGTGCTGCCTCATCTGATGAGCTCTTGACAACTCTTGAGTCTACAACATTTAACGATTTCATCCACCTCACTCCAGATATCATTTATAACACCAGCCCTAGTGCCCCAAATCTTGATAAAAAATCAACACTCCTCCCCAAGCTCACACAGAATGGCAGAACTACCCATCAGCCCCAATCTGGAGATCACCAAAGCTCTGTAACTAAACTCTCTTCAAAACAGCATACTCAGAATGAAGCACAAGATCCAATTGTGCGGAATGGAGAGTCTGTCTCTTCCTCTGACAGTAAGGACACCACCTCAAAGCCTAGAAGCACAACCTGTAAAAAGAAGAGTACCATAACAGTGCGTACAAGGTTCTCAACTTTCTCAGAGACCACGGAAACCTCGAAGATTCCAGTAGCTTCAAGGACATCAAACACTACCTACACTACCCACCCCACGACCTCATCTACTAAGGGAGCCTCCTTCAGGAACACGTCTGTCTCTCCCAAGACCATAACTACCTATCGTGAGGGAATGGGGGCCTCAGACAGAAGCACATCTGTGTCATCCAAGAGCAAAGCTACCTCCTACAAGGGCATTGGAACCTTGGACAGGACCACAACTGTCTCACCCAAGAACATAACTATCTACCATGTGGGAATGGGATCCTCAAATAGGGCCCCACCTCACTTAGATAAGACTACAGGAAATGCCCCTATGGATGCTGGAACCTCAGGAAGTTCAACATCTCTCTCACGGCTCACCAGCACCTCACATGAGGGCACAAGAGCCTCAGACAGGACCACATCTGTTTCACCTGAAATAACAGATACTTCCCACAAGAACATGGAATCCTCCTTCAGGACCATATCTATCTCATCTGAGACTATAACTACCTATCATGAGGATATGAGAACCTCAGACAGAACCACACCTGTCTCACTCAAGATAACAGATACTTCCCACAAGGGAACAGGAACCTCCATTGTAGGAGATTTGAACAAAGCCACTGGAGCATCAAGTAGGACACCTGCCTTTGACAAGACTACAGGCTGGACTACAGCTGTTTCAGATGAGGTAACTGAATCCTTCAGAACCTCACACAAGTCTACATCTGCTTCTGACAAAACCATAGGAATCAAGGAACCAGCCACGGCCACGGGCATAACTTTTGGGGGAACCTCAGAAAAGATGACTGAATCCTTAGAAAGGACCACAGGCATCTATAAGACTGCAACTTCTCCACATCAAACTCTGGAAGCTTCATACAAAACTACCCAAATTTCAGAGAAAACCGCAAAAGTTTCAGGAGCTACAGGAGCCTCAGAGAAGACCACAGGACCCTCAGACAAGACTACCCATAAATCTATATCTATTCCCTATAACACTTCAACTGTCCCTCATCCACCACTCCAGGTTACTAGTGAGAAAACCTTCGTTCCTTTCACAACTCCCAAAAATAACCAGGAGCCAAATTCTACAAAATTGGTCAATAGTAACTGGTCAAACCAGAAAACAGATCATTCAGGAGGAACGTCCCAGGATGGAGCAACCCAGGGTGTACTGGAGGGGAATTCATTTCCTGCCTGGGCCATTGTCATTGTAGTCCTGGTGTCTGTGATCCTTCTCCTGCTGTTCATTGGCCTAGTCATCATGGTGAGAAACAGAGAGGGAAAGAAGGGAATGACATATTATGGAAACAATATTACGCTTGGGATTAGAGGCAGGGCTAGGAGAAAAAAATGGAGCTGGAGGAAGGAACATGGAAAGGGGGTGGTGAAATGGGAGCCAATCTCAAATATGGAAAATAGAGAGTAGGGAGAAGGATGGAATTGGGATAATGAAGAGATAATGGGAGAATGAAAGGACTGAAAGACAGAGCCAGGGGTTGGGGTATGAATTTGGGATACTGATGTAGGGGGGGAATGAGTAGAATATGAGAGAAGAATGAACCCAGGAATTGAGATAGATGTGAGGTACATAGTGTTGGGAGCTGGTTAAGAGGAAGCATTAAGGCACAGATGAAGAAATGTATAGTTGGGATGGGGCTGGGGTGGAGTCACTGCCTGTGGAGAATCAGAAGGGAAGAATGATTTCTTAAAGTAAGCAGGTATGTGTATGTATGGTGGAGGTCAGAGAAGGATAATGAGGGAAAACAACATTCATCTTTCCTTATCACTTTCTCCCAACCAACCACCTTCTAGGTTGTCTACATGATCCGATTTCGTCACCATCAGACAACTACCGACCGAAAGGAAAATAATGCAGAGGATGAGGTCGGCCCCAATTCTTATCCTGTCTTCCTGATGGAGCAGCAAACGCTGGGTCGAAGCCAGCTCCCATTACCTTAGTGATCCCCCTACAGGATCCCAACTTCAACTCCTCAAGGACTTACCCCTTCTCCTAGTTCAGGAATGAGGATTCATCTTCTGTTTCCTAGACTCTAGTAAAGGCTAAGACTCCTAGCATTGGCAGCTTTGATCCTTAACCAGAAGCACTGGAGGGAGGAGTCTGAAGTTGCTGGGGCAGAGTAAAGGAAAAAAATCTGGAGTCTTCAAAGAGAGTTGAGAACTTGGGGGGCAAGGAACTGCGTTGGACATTTGAATTTTAAGAGTGGAGTAGTACTTTTGATCTCTCTGGCATAGGAAAAGGGAAATCTTCCTATATAGAGGTTCTACATATAGAATCTCTATAGGTTGATCCTTACACTTTGTTTCCCTTCTCCCAAGACTGAACTCTCACTCAAGATCACATCCTCCATGCCTCTCTGCTTGGCCCACTTGGAACTTCTTCCCCTCACATCTATTAAGTTATTCTGATTCTCATCACAGCTCCTACCAATTCCCATCCCTTATGCCCACTATGGCTCACCCCTCCCTCTCTGGTGATTCAGCCATGTACTTTTAGGTCTCCTCGCTCTGTTTTACTTTTTAGCTTCTTCTTCTTCTCTATACTTGGGGGAGATGCTAATGCTACAGACTGGACAGATGTTTAGTGTGGGGGAAGATGGGAAGGAGAATGTCTAAAGAAACAAAGGATCACTGGTTTCCTTTTACTTATCTTTTACAATAAAAGGTCAAATGTTTTAAATGAAGGAAGTGGGGACAAATGTTTTAAATGAAGGACCTATTACTGATGCCCTTAACAAAATCTTGGTGTTGACACTAAAGATAGTTTCAAACGTCAGAAGTCTGAAGGACAAGACTGACTCTTTTTTTTTTTTTGGTGAGGCAATTGGGGTTAAGTGACTTGCCCAGGGTCACAAAGCTAGTAAGTGTCAAGTGTCTGAGGCCGGATTTGAACTCAGGTCCAAGACTGATTTTTTTTTTAATGGGGAATGACAGAGAAGGAATTTCTACTGTTTAATGTGTCCAAAATTGCTTAGGGCCTGGTTTCATTTAGGTCTTACCTCCTTTCAGTGATGGCCTTGACATGACAAGTTATAGCAAACACATACTGAGTGCCTGGTATGTGCATGACACTATGTTGGACATGGAGAAGTGAGTAGTGGTGGCTGGGGGTGGGAGGGAGGCAACACAAGAAATATAATACATGGCCCCTGCCCTTGAATAGATTACAACCTAGTTGGGAAACACACACATGAAAATTAAATAAAGATATGAGATAGCAGGAATCAGAAACATGGAAAGTGCCAAGTAAGAGGTGAAGATACTAAAGTTTATGGGTGTGAATGTGAATGCAAATACATGCCTGTGTTCAGCTTTGTCCTAAGCCCAATGTGAGCTTCAACTTCAAAACCAATGAATCAGTTAACAAGCACTTACTCTGTGCCAGGCACTGAGGACATGAAGACCAAAAAATGAAATATTCTTTGCCCTTAAAGAGTTTACATTTTATAGGTGGAGATAACATAACATGTACAATGGAGTCACATTTATAGTCTTGGCTTTCCACCTTCAATACAGAAAAAAATGGGAGGAGGGGCATTGACATTGAGTCCAAACTTCTGGTTCTACAGTGGACGCTATAGAAACTCCATCATGAGGCCCACTCACCAACCAAACGCTCTTGTCAGCATACCTTCAACTTCCTACTTCTTTACCTTAGCCCTGGCCATGGTATCAACTATTCTCCCTGACCCTGAATTCTAAATATAATTCAATTTCAATACTTTAACTCAAATGTTTTCCCTTAATCCAACATCATACTCTATTTTATCCTAAAAACTAAACTTCGCTCTGTGGGGATAAAAATTGTCCAACCTACAATAAGAGAGACTGAGGCAGAACTCTGAGCTAATGGCACTTTATTAAAGAGTCCATGGTCCCCTCTAATGAAGTAGACCTCAGATCTTCCTCATGATCTGAAATACCCCCTCCTTCCGGGGCCCAATTGTTAAGGGCTAGTATCTAGACATTCTTGAGTGGCTATACCAAATACAGAATAATTCCATTGGTCAACATATGATGCATAGGGTAAAATAAGCAAACAATATATCAGCAGGATCACAGGTCGGGCAAAGCAGGAAATATCTCCACTTACTAGATGGTCACAAGATGGATGGGCATCTCCTTAGGTTAGGCAGGAGCTATCCATATACTTCAAGAATGTATGGGGGGGGGACTTTCTATACCATGCCATCACCCATGCTTGGTTTGGTCATAGAATTTGAGCAAAACAAGATGGAAATATCTTTCTCAGCATTCTTATGCTTGCACAAGTGAGCTCCACAGCTGATAAACAAGTAATGAATATTACATTAAAGTTTGAAGCCTATTATAGGGTCCTTCTATTAGAAACTATATTCCTACATGACTTACACAAAGTATGGATTAATACATTGCTTATTCTTGCTCAAATATGAAAAAGGGGCATGGCCAAATACAGAATCTCATTGGTTGGTGGACCCTACTCTTGAGGGCCAAAAATGACATATTAGTAGAGGGGGGAGGGTGTCTCACAGATTGGGTGAAGCATGGGGCATCTCCACTGACTAAGTGTTCATAAGATGGTCAACTGCTCATGTTGGACAAGAGAGAATGGTCTGGAGGCACAAAAATAAATTTGGGGACTTTTCATATAGTTGAGTCACCTCTGTCATACTGGGCTTGGTCACCATGACAAAGAAAAACAAGGGTGGAATGCCTCTAGTTAACTTCCTATGATTAAGCAAGGGAACTTAGAATCCTCAGCTCACAACTCTGGGGCCAAATATACAGAACTTACAGTCACTTGCTCTATAGAATCACATCAAATTGATTGATACTGATTGGAATAGAGTAGGGGTCCTCAATGAATCAACTTTCTCAACCTTATGGTGAAAAATCCCCTTCCTTTAAGTGAGCCTAAAGCACATTAGTAATAGCTGCTTTAAAACTACACTAAGGCTTTTAGAATACCCTGGACACTTACAAGCTGTGTGACTTTGGGTAAGTCACCTAACCTGCCTCTGTAAAGTAGAAATAATAATATCACCTGCCTCCCAGGGTTGTTGCGAGGAAAAGTTAAATAATATTTATAAAATGCCATATAAATGCTTGCTGTTATTTAGTAGATGATTAGTGAGTAATTCCGGTGGCTAAAAAAAAATCATTGATTACCTAGGGTCCTGGTCATGAACCTCTATGCATTTAGCTAGGCTGGTCTTTGAACAAGCTATCCTTGGGAAGGAGGGAGGAAGCAGGGAAGGAGGGAAAGAGATAGGGAGAGAAGAGCAAAGGAAGACAAAAGGAAGAAAGAAAGAAAGTGAAGAAGGAAGGGAGGGAGAAAGAAAAGAAGAAAGGAAGAGGGAGATAGGGAGAGAGGAATGAAGCAAGAAAGAAGGGAGAGAGGAAAGAAGGGAGGAGGGAAGGAAGGAAAAAAGAGAAGGAAAGGAAAAATGGGCTGTTAAAACTATTACTTTTAAATACTTTAGATTGGTGTCTACCAGAGGGATTTTGGACAATATGTTGACAATATTGGACAACAGTATCATTAATAGCTCATTAATGCATCATCTCTTAGTGTGGGAATAATTCAACTTGGTTTGAGTACAAATTGGCCTACGATGAAAAGATGAGACTAGAGAGGTGGTATCACCTTTAAAGGTAGAACCTTAAAATATATCTAATGCAGAGGTTCCCAAACTTATTTGGCTTACCACTCCCTTTTAAAAAAAAATTACACAGCGCCCCTCTGGAAATATACTTTCTTTAACCTTTCAATGTTTTTTTTTTTATATTTGCATCATTTCAAAAACATAAATTTTTTAAAATGATGCATCTTAAATTTAACAATGTATTGTAAACTTGTGGTTTTTTTTCCCCATATTGAAACTTTGGTGATGCAATATTGCATCATGTAACCATATAGTATCATATTGTAAACAAGTCATTACACACACATATTCCTGCTGATGCATGCTGGACTTTCCAACAATGCATGACATGCTCACCTACCAACACTTGCTTGTTAAGACCTGTCAGCGGACTTGACCACTGTTTGGTTATAACTTGCATTTTATGTGTGTATTTGGAAAATAAAGTAATTGCTATGACTTTAATTGTGTTATACAACAGATGAAACACATATAAATGGTTTTTCAAAATTTTCTTATCTTCCCTTCTTTCCTTATACTTCTACCACACCCCTTATTTTTATTCAACACCCTCCCAGCTACACCAGAACCAACTAACACCCCCCCGGACCGTTCCAGCATGGGGTGGGGAGAGTGGAGGGTGACCCAGGGGTGGTATTGCCCACTTTGGGAACCTCTGATAGTCCTATACTGTCATTTTACAAAGGAGGACCCTGAAACCCAGAGAGATTAAACTCACAACTCTAGTAAATAGAAAATAGCAGAGCATGATTTGAATCCATAAGCCCTGACTTCAAATCCATGGCTCTTGCCATTACTCAACACTATAGGTAGGGGCCAGATCATGAAATACCTTGAATGCCAGTTTGAGAAGTTCATATTTTATTTCACAGGAAATGGAGAACCATGAAAAGTCATTGAGTGAGAAGGTATCATGTTCAGAGCCGTGCTAGAGGAAGATTAATTACTATATGTGTGAGGTACATATATGTTATCAATCCATACTTCAAGCAGCTCAAGCAAATCATTCTCATAGGGAGAGAATTTGAGCAGTAAATCATCAACCTTAGTACAGAGGGAAAAGTGAAAAGAGCCCACAACCGAAATCCACTAGACATCAAATTCTCCTTGGATGTGGGGGTATCAGTGCTTCCATTCTTTCAAATGGGCATAGAACGAAAAAAGAATCATAGACTCTTGGGATTTGATTCCACAATTCAATAAATATTTATAAAAACACCTACTCTGTGTCAGGCCCTGTTTGAGGCACTGGGGATAGAGAAAAAAGTGAAATAGTCTTTGCCCTCAAGGAGCTGATATTCTACTAGATGGTATCTTAGCAGATTACAACTCTTACCTCAGCAAGAATCCCCTCTATAACAGTAACATAGGAGGTTATTGAGCTTCTATTCAAAGGTTTCTCATGATGGGGAGTGGAGATGGGAGAGGACAAGCATTTATTAAGTACCTACTATGTGTTGGGCACTGTGCTAAGCATTTTACAAATATAATTTCATTTGATCCTTACAACAACTCTGGGAGGTAGGACCTACTTTTATCCCCATTTTAAAGTTGAGAAAACTGAGGAAAACAGGTTAAGAGAGCCCAGGGTCACAGCTAGTAAATGTTAGAGGCTGGATTTGAACTCACTTCTTCCTGACTCAAGGACCAACACTATATCCATTCCATCATCTAGCTGTCCATCATGATGGGGAATTCATTATTTCTTGAGTCTGTTCCACTATCTGGACAACGTTGTTAGGAAATGTTTCTTAGGTGAAGCCAAAGATTTGCTTCTAGTTTTTCAACCTGTGACTAAGCTGAAAGAAAAACCTAATTGCTCTTCCATGTGGAGCACAGGAAGATAGTTTTCATATTCCCCTTAAGTCTTCTGTTCATCAGACAAATTACCCATAGTTGCAAATTCCTCTATAATATAGTTTTGAATTTTTCCACCATACTGATTACCCAGAATCATAGAACTGAACC